GCCGATCCCACTCACGTTCTCACGAAGGCCCGCGCCTTTTGTCGATGCCTGACGCCACCAATATCCAGGCAGGGCTTTTTAATCCTTTTCCCGCGGGCGCAGCCCGGCTCCATTATATTTCGATAAATAAATCAGAGTGACGGGAGAACCTTCCGCCCCATATAGCAAAAAGGTCGGAATCCCTTTCGCCCCGCACTCGCACGATGAGAGCTCGTGAACCAAGAAAGGCTCTTATTATTGAACTTTGTCTTCAGTGTTGCGAGGCCTTCCACATGTTCGCATACGATCGGGGTTATCCAAGGTTGAAGCGTGTATAGGATGAAAGAATGTAAGGTCATGCCGTTTTTGTCTTAATGAAAAAGCCATGAGATGGTGTTTGAAGAACAAGAAAACAAGTACACGGCTACTGAAGGAATAATAGTAGATTTTTAGGCAATTTTTAATTCAGCTCTTGGTTGAATATTATGATCAGATAATATTTACTACAATTTGTTTACTGCCTATTTTATACCTCCTTGAAAGGAAGTACTCGATTTATAAGTAGAAGGAGCGACTACTCTGAAGTTTGAACAGAATTTTTGTGCATATTTGAATTCTAATTTTCATCTTTCCTGTCACGTTAGACCACCCCGTTATCATAATCATTTTCTTTCTTAAAATTTTATTCTAAAAAATATCTTCATGTATGACTCAATACTGGAATATTAAAATCAATTACTTGTGTATTTGACTCTTGTGTAATTGCCACTGAGGATGAAGACAACCCCCCCGAGTTAGTTAAGTGTTCTATTTTAATATTTAAAAAAACATTTATACATTTGTGGTTTGATATTTTCTCTACAAGTTTATTTTCTAGTTGGAGTAAATTAAATTCCAGACAATTGTGTATCATGATTCTTGCGACATGTCATTCCTCAGAAGCGATGCAGAAAGCTAAAATTCGACTTGACGTCAATTGGACCGAATCAGTTCTTCAGCTCGACCCTATTGGGTCGGGGAAGAGTTGAACACCTCCAAATGTGTCCTTTGTTTCTCTTGGAAGTCTGTCCCCTCGAGACTCAATAGAGAGAAGTAAAACGGGACTTGACAACATAACTAGGCGACGCCTATCAGCAATGGTTCATCTAAATGCCCCAGATCGCACCTCCAGTCTAGACAAAGTGCTGAGATCCTTATGGGGTCCTATATTTCTCTTGCAGATCTGTCCTGTACTAGTAATGCAAAAAATTACAACTAAACTAGACCAAAACAGTACATAGTCTCCCTAACTTTAAACCGCATGTCTAGTCTAGACCATGATGGAAATAACAAGGTGGACGCGCAGTGACAACCAATCACGTTCAAACGCAGTGACCAAGCTAAGATGGGGGCGCACGTATTATTCTTCATGGGATTCGTTCAAATCATGGAATTCGTTGTTGGTAGAGTAGACACATGTGAGTGCTCTGTGCTTGGAAGTTGATCCCGAAATTTCTGTTGGCCATAGGACTCATTGATCACTTTACTTTTATGCCAGTACCAATCTGTCATTCAGAACAGCAAACAAAATCTGCAGACAAGTCATATTATGTAAATCAGTCATGAAGCCTACATACTCTAATATGAAAATGTCTATAAACACAACAAAGTTAATTGAATTCAAATAAAATCATCTTGCTAAGTCTAAAATAGTAATTAATGTTATTATCGTAAATGATTCTCTTTTTCAGTATTAGGCTCATATATGACAACGATTCAGAAATAGAAGGGAAATTTAATGAATTTCAAGATCTAATGTTGAAATTATTAGTAAAAAGTCGCAAAAAAGGAGAAATTTAATAAAACTTTTATAGAAAAATTACGGTCATTTTTCTCCTTCTTGAGATCGAAACTCATTTGTGAAAAAAAGAACCTATTAACTTGAATATACTAAGCAAATGAAATGAAATTTTGAAGAAAGAACTAAAGCTTTGATCTTTGCCGTCTTCTGGTGCG